TATGGAGATTACTATCTGTGATGAGCAGCTAAAGGACATTTAAATATGAAATTGATTTTTGGTCATGCGATTGCATTGTAAAAGAAAACAGTGTGGAATCTATCACAAAAAGTTGATCATGTATCATATACGTGTACTGCAAGGTTCTGGAATCATGAAAAAGAAATTTGGCACAGGCTTAGTAAAAGTAACTAGCACTGTACATAGAAAGATATATGGGACTATACAGACAAACATGTTGCATAAAAATGTGGTCCTCATTAAGCTGTAACAGTCAAATTTAGAATATGAAGGCATTTGAAGAGCCATGAAGAGAAGGTTCTGGGAAGACGTGAAAAATAATTTGTGAGCGTTATCATTGTTATTATGCAAATGTGAAAGAACATGAGATAAAAAATGTTCCCTGAAAAGCATGGCTCTTCAAATGCCTCAATATAATACATACCTGCCAACATTTAAGAATAAGAATAAGGAATTTTTAGCACGGTATGCCTTCGAAAATTAGATATCTGTACCATTAACAGGTGTTCGCACATGCAGCGGCAGTGTTACTGGCAATACTCTGTAAATCTGTACAAAAAAACGAATACAAATTCCCTGCTCAATCATGCATGCAGCCAATCTAAGCACACAGTATGTGAACTCTCAAATCGCGGCACGTGATAAAACAAGCTTAGTTTGGCTTCAACCATCAAAAAAAAAAAAACAAGAAATAGAGAGGGCTAGACAGAACTTACAGGATGACAGACAGGGAGTGGATAACTCTCTTCCATCACTGAACTTAGCGGTGCTGGAATGAATCCTGAGATCTTATGAATCTAGAGAGAGAGAGACAGGAACTTACAGGATGACAGACAAGGAGTGGATAACTCTCTTCCATTACTGAACTTAGCAGTGTGGGAATGCATCCTATGATCTTATGAACCTAGAGAGAAGAGAGACGGAAACTTACAGGATGACAGACAGGGAGCGAAAGTCTCTCTTCCATCACTGAACTTAGCAGTGTGGGAATGAATCCTATGATCTTATGAACCTAGAGAGAAGAGAGACGGAAACTTACAGGATGACAGACAGGGAGCGAAAGTCTCTCTTCCATCACTGAACTTAGCAGTGTGGGAATGAATCCTATGATCTTTATGAACCTAGAGAGAAGAGACAGAAACTTACAGCTGACAGACAGGGAACGGATGACTCTCTTCGATCACTGAACTTAGCAGTGTGGGAATGAATCCTATGAACTAATGTATCTAGAAAGAGAGAGAAACTTAAAGGATGCCAGGCAGGAGCGGATGACTCTCTTCCATCACTGAACTTAGCAGTGTGGGAATGAATCCTATGAACTAATGAATCTAGAAAGAGAAACTTAAAGGATGCCAGGCAGGAGTGGATGACTCTCTTCAATCACTGAACTTAGCAGTGTGGGAATGAATCCTATGAACTAATGAATCTAGAAAGAGAGAGAAACTTAAAGGATGCCAGGCAGGAGCGGATGACTCTCTTCCATCACTGAACTTAGCAGTGTGGGAATGAATCCTATGAACTAATGAATCTAGAAAGAGAAACTTAAAGGATGCCAGGCAGGAGTGGATGACTCTCTTCAATCACTGAACTTAGCAGTGTGGGAATGAATCCTATGAACTAATGAATCTAGAAAGAGAGAGAAACTTAAAGGATGCCAGGCAGGAGTGGATGACTCTCTTCAATCACTGAACTTAGCAGTGTGGGAATGAATCCTATGAACTAATGAATCTAGAAAGAGAGAGAAACTTAAAGGATGCCAGGCAGGAGTGGATGACTCTCTTCAATCACTGAACTTAGCAGTGTGGGAATGAATCCTATGAACTAATGAATCTAGAAAGAGAGAGAAACTTAAAGGATGCCAGGCAGGAGTGGATGACTCTCTTCAATCACTGAACTTAGCAGTGTGGGAATGAATCCTATGAACTAATGAATCTAGAAAGAGAGAGAAACTTAAAGGATGCCAGGCAGGAGTGGATGACTCTCTTCAATCACTGAACTTAGCAGTGTGGGAATGAATCCTATGAACTAATGAATCTAGAAAAAGAGAGAAACTTAAAGGATGCCAGACAGGGAGTGGATGACTCTCTTCCATCACTGAACTTAGCAGTGTGGGAATGAATCCTATGATCTTATGAACCTAGAAAAAGAGAGAAACTTAAAGGATGCCAGGCAGGAATGGATGACTCTCTTCCATCACTGAACTTAGCAGTGTGGGAATGAATCCTATGAACTAATGAATCTAGAAAGAGAGAGAAACTTAAAGGATGCCAGGCAGGAGTGGATGACTCTCTTCAATCACTGAACTTAGCAGTGTGGGAATGAATCCTATGAACTAATGAATCTAGAAAGAGAGAGAAACTTAAAGGATGCCAGGCAGGAGTGGATGACTCTCTTCAATCACTGAACTTAGCAGTGTGGGAATGAATCCTATGAACTAATGAATCTAGAAAAAGAGAGAAACTTAAAGGATGCCAGGCAGGAGTGGATGACTCTCTTCCATCACTGAATTATAGCAGTGTGGGAATGAATCCTGAGATCTTATGAATCTAGAGAGAGAGAAAGAAACAGAAACTAACAGGATGACAGACAGGAGTGGATAAATCTCTTCCATCACTGAACTTAGCAGTGTGGGTATGAATCCTATGAACTAATGAATCTAGAAAAAGAGAGAAACTTAAAGGATGCCAGGCAGGAGTGGATGACTCTCTTTCATCACTGAACTTAGCAGTGTGGGAATGAATCCTATGAACTAATGAATTTAGAAAGAGAGAGAAACTTAAAGGATGCCAGACAGGGAGTGGATGACTCTCTTCAATCACTGAACTTAGCAGTGTGGGAATGAATCCTATGAACTAATGAATTTAGAAAGAGAGAGAAACTTAAAGGATGCCAGGCAGGAGTGGATGACTCTCTTCAATCACTGAACTTAGCAGTGTGGGAATGAATCCTGAGATCTTATGAATCTAGAGAGAGAGAGAGAAACAGAAACTAACAGGATGACAGACAGGAGTGGATAAATCTCTTCCATCACTGAACTTAGCAGTGTGGGTATGAATCCTATGATCTTATGAATCTAGAGCGAGAGAGAGAGAAACAGAAACTAACAGAATGACAGACAGGAGTGGATAAATCTCTTCCATCACTGTACATAGCAGTGTGCGTATAAATCCATACCTGCCAACATTTGAAAATAAGAATTAGGAATTTTTAGCACGGCATGCCTTTGAAAATAAGAAATCGCACTTGCAGCGGCAGTGTAACTGGCAATACGCGGTAAATCTGTACCAAAAAGCAAATACAAATTTGCTGCTCAGTCATGCAGCCATTCAACGCACACAATATGTGAACTCTCAAATCACTGCACATGATAAAACAAGCCTAATTTGGCTTAAGCACACACCAACAAAAACAGACAAACAAAAAAAATGAAATTTTGAAAAATCAGAATATTCCAGATTTTCAGTTCCTAGAAATCTAGAAATCCAGAATATTCTGGATTATTCGTAAGGGTTGGCAGGTATGTAAATATGGCATGAAACATCATAAAAATTGGGACAGATTTTTACGCCACATGTTCGTGTAGTTCCATATACATCTTTCTGTGTACATGCAGTGCTTGTAACTTTACCAATTAAGACTTGGCAAATTTCTTATCATTTTATCAATTGGCAAATTTCTTTCACAATGCATTCGCATGACCAGAACTTAACTTTATCTTTATGTACAAAACTGTAAAACTTCAGAATTCCTCTTGAGTGGAGTAATATGATAGTTATTGTGAAGATTTTCTGAGAACGAATACTGCCTTTTTGGAGCCAAAAGGGCACTACCTCATACATTGAATGCAGAATTAATGCCTTTCTGGCTAAAAAAAGATGACATTCTTTTCACTGCATTTTCCTATGGTCAGATTTGTACAAGGGCCTCTCAGGAAGACAGTTTTACTCTGTTTACATGAAATGAATGAATAAATGACGGAAGGAAATAACCTTTTAGAAGTGTATTTGAACATTAGTTTCAAATGTCTGTTGCTCAGAGTGACCTTTTAATAAGCCCTTCATTTCCTTCTTTCAAGTTTTAATATCATGTTTCAAATCGTAAAGCTGTTAAGTGGTGTTGGAGATAAGGTAGAAACTAAACAGAAAGTGTTTATTGCATGCACAATTTTCAGTTTGTTATGACAGCATCATTTTTCCTTTGCAAAATAAGAAAAAAGACAATAGCCTCCCTGTTTTTTGTAACATCTGCGCAAGCACCTATTACAAAGTGTAGACAAATATCTCATGCAAATACTGATTATCATGACAATCAACATAATTTTCATTTGTAGAAAAGACCTATTACAAAGTGTAGACAAATATCTCATGCAAATACTGATTATCATGACAATCAACATAATTTTCATTTGTATAAAAGATATTATAGTTTTCAGAATATGTCCACTATATCATGGCACCGTGGAGGTGTCATGGTAAAGTGGTGCAATCACTTGACTCTCTATCCAAGGGTTGAGGGTTCAAATCCCAGCCTGTGGCAGTAACACCTAGCTTTGGCAAGATATTAATCCACATTTGCCACTCTCCACCCAGGTGTTAAATGGCTACCTGGAAGGATGTGAAAGGGAAGAATGCTCCCCAAGGAGTGAAGAATGTGCATACATTGTGTGCGCAGGCAAGTCTGAGTCTGATGATCTGAGGAACATATTTGTAAACAGCTTAGACACATTGTCAATGCATTAAAGCCCCGCTGCACTACTTGTAGCTACTTGCTCCCTCTATATAGCAAACAATGCCTAATCGGTGCCTGTTGGTCCCCCATGATCCCCTCTCTTATGTTAATTGAGAGCAGATTTGATGAGATAACCACCTGTCAGTGACCCTGCAGGGAGGTCTAACCCCCCTGGCCAAACCAGTGCACACTATATAAACCCAGAAAATCATTTTAAAACAAATTTATGATAATCATGAAATGAAACCGACCTTCTTTCCTGCCAGTGCCCCCTCCTCTCACCCTCAAGCTCTCCTCAAAGTATTGGTTAGGATGGTTGAGAAGAAACTCAGTTTCAGGGACGTTATGCGAGAGCTCAAAGTATCGGGTGCAAGCCAGTTGATAGTGATGACCCTTGACCAGCTCCATCACCTGTAACAAGAGAGAATGAAACAAAATCTTGAATAGTTACAATCAATTCAATTCATTTATTTTCCATTAAAATTCAAAGTAAACAATACATAACAAATGAACAACAACACCGGAAGGACCCCAAGATAAGCAAAGCTTGTGAGAATGGGGCCCTGTACAAAAATAAACGGACAAGCAAATTATAATAACAAATATTGTAAAACTTATCAAAACAAACATACACCCACTCTCATTCGTTCACATGCACACGGACACATCAACACACACTGCAGGCAGAACATTGTACAGAAAAATCTACTCAGTGTACATCATGCGAATGTCATTTAGTTTATGCTTTAAAAAATTACATTAAAGGGGGAAAATGGTTCTTGGTTGTGACTACTAGCATCACAACTTTCATAAATAAATTTATTTATACTAAAATTTTTAATCCAATACAAACATGTGAACAAAAAAAGAACACAAAAAAAAATAAAAAATAATTAAATATCCTCCTTCGATCATGAAATATACCCTATATGAGACCTAAACACTCTCATTTCCATCATCTACATATAGTTGGAGATTATAGTTGACGAAAGTAACCTCCTGAAATATTTATAAAATTTAAAACTACCTTCAATGTTTATATGACATTTCACCAACAAAAAGTTCACAAAAGACAGGAGATGATTATAATTGATGTATCCTTTCTGTTTATCATAATTGATATAATTTCTGTTCCTCTTTTCAATCAATGTATAAATAAAACACTATGTTCATGGACAGATATTTTTGTGGATGATAGGGACACAAATACAATTTCCAAGAGTTATTGTTTTTAATGAGAACAGACGTTACTTACAAAACATGTTCCTAGGTCTCTCTCTCTAAGTGCCATACCGATTGAATTTGGCGATCATGCTGTTCCACAACCCTCGGTTCCTAGCCTTCTCTATTTTAGCACCACTCCCAGTTCTTTCACTCCTCTCTCTTCCATCAATTTCTGCAGACTGTCCATCCAAAGTATCCTCCTTTTTCCCCTACTCCTTCTTCCCACAATTTTCGGTCATAGTAAGACTCTCTAAACCTTCTTTACATGTAAGGTGACCCATGAACTTCAAGCTGCATACACTTTTTGTTCGCATTTTTATTACATTTAAGACCCTCCAACCATGCATGCAGCTCAGGTGATCTCATATTGACCACTCAAAGGTAATTTAAATTTGGAGGTGAAGATGTCTGACTAACCTGGTCAACCCCCTGCTGTGTCAGCCCAAAGGTGGAGAGTCGCTGCTTCAACAAGGCACCATCAGTATGACGGAACGGACAACCTGGACAGAGCATATGAAAATGAGTTTATGGACAAGTACAGGTTTTGGGGTCATTTTCTGTCCAATATTCAAGAATAACAAAAAATAAATAACAATTATGTACATGTGTCATGGTCAAGTAGATACGTCACTGGACTGTGGATCACATGGTATATTTTTATTTTCATTTTGTTTTTAGTAATTTATGCACATTCCACATATTGTTCAAGTTTATGTCACATATTTACATTAATTTGAGGATAATAAATACAGAAATTAAAATAAAGAACAGATTGAGAACTATAACAACAAAGTAATAGGAAAATGTGGAGGGGTCTAATGAGAAGCACATAGCTTGTAAAATGATGTAGACACCTTGACTATAAACATTAAAAAAATTCTAGAAAAGTATTGAGTCAAGTAAATGAGTAAGGATTCAGTATGGAGTTTTAAACAGTGATTTAAATCTAATTAAGATTAAATGTGTCATTTTCCTTGTTATATAGTCTGATCGAAGGGCATTCGTGCATCTGACTATTACACAACTATTTCCATATATCATATTCCCTACGATAATGCTAAATCGGTTACCATGGTAATCTCCCTGTCCTGGTGCATTGCTCATAATGACCTTCATACAGCTGTATGGTGTGTAGTTTGCCCGCTTGCCTTCCTTGCCGTAGTTATGACGGATGTTGTAGGAATACTGCTTATCAAACTGTGTAAGGAAAGACAAAATATGAAATGATTTATCATGATGTAAACGAGTACCTGGCAGGAATTAATTCCTTGAAACGCTAGAGCGCCGTAATGGCAGCCGTGCTAAAGCCAGGGTAATATTCGGGAGTGCCAGGAGTGTCAAGTCTGACAGACATGAGCCCTATGCAAGAACCCACTATTATTATTATTATTATTATTATCAAAAATACTTCAAGGAGCATCAATAGAATTGAGAGAATTAGAAAGAAGATAATAATCTCTTTTTACAAGTTCTTCCTTTTGTGTTTCATTAGATCAAGATTAATCTAAAGTTCCTAAATTAAGCTCTTCCATCACTCGATGGCTGCGATGGCCGTCTCATTTACAAGGGCCAGGTCTTCATCTGTGCAACCCGTTCCGCCGCACTGCAAGATGTGGTCCATCGTCCTAGTCTCTCCGCAGTCGCAGAGAGTATCTTCTTCATGGGCATAGCTCCATATTGCCAAGAACAAGTACAATTGTACATACTAAATAACTTCAAGTATGACTCGTCTCACTTTTCCACTGAATGTTGGGAAACATTTTATCCTTAAATTGAAACCATAATCATAAGCATACCGGTAACTACAGTGGAGGTACAGTAGTAGAATCAATGGTTTGATGACACACGTTCAAATGAAAATGGTTCCGCTGATAACTTGCATCTGCATCCCTTACCTCAACACTGCCAATACACCCCTAAACCTATCCTGAACCATAACCATGTAAATTTGGTTTTTGCAGACATGTATCAATCAGATATGATTATTGACGTCTGTGGACCGACATTTAACGTCACCATCCGAAAGAAGTGACTTGAACCTGCGTCCTCGGCTGAATCAGTTTGTAACTTCCATTGTTAGCTGGATTATAAGTGCACGCCACAATGCCCCTATAAACTCAACTGTATTTGTAAGGTTCCAATAAAAGAAGTGTGTTCTCTAATCCCATTGTTAACAACTTAAAGCCCAAAGCAAATGTTGGATAAACGAGTCACAATGTCTCAAGTTCATTTGCGTTTAGTTTCAAAGAAAATGCTTCTTTTGCAACATTACAATCATTTTCTTTAAATCTAAAATCTTCAACCAGATTAACAAGATTCAAACTTGCCTTGTCCATGTCCATGATACGTGTGAACTCTGACCTCCAGAAGGTCATGGCCTGCTCCAAGGTCATCCCGATACCCTTGAGGAACAACCCGTACTGCATCCTGCCGCCGTGGCGTAGATGATGATGCTCCTTGAGTGACATGTGAAGCTGACGCATGCACAGCGGGAACGACTGCTTGGAATACTGGGTAACAAAGAAAAAAAAAGCACTGCAGATTCATACCTGCTAACTTTTCACAACAAAATGGGAAATGTCTCAAGGGGGGAATCATGATAATAGTGTACATGTATTTTGAACGCTTATATGCAGAATTTTGAAGAGTAAAAACGGAGTAGAGGATATATAGCTTGGACAAGACTTTTAAGAAGAAAAAGATTGAAACATTCCTCAAAAATATGAATAATTGTCTGCTATGGATTATGATGAATCCTATATGTATACGGGTAGTTAGCTCTCCACAACAGAGGTGAACATAGAATAGTTTAAATTCGACCTCATCTAAATCTTCAAGGTTGATGGTCGAGTTCCCAGACCAATTACTGCTGCTGTAGTCCTGGCCCGGATACTGATTACTCAGATTGTTCAATACCAGGGAGGGACTCAGAATTGTTCCATATTAATATGTTTGTTCCATATGTTAGCTAATATTTTAGCTTTTTACTATAATTCTGTTGTTCCTTATCTATTCATATGACAGTTTTTGTATCATGTGTATGTTTGTAATTCCTTGTTTGTGTTTTAGCTTTCTCTCTTCACTTTGTTTTATATATGTCATCTTTATTGTTTTTCCTATGTATTTATATTCAGTTTGGTGTCTATGTGATCAGTTTGTAAACACGTACTTGCTGAAAAGCTATCTTTTAGGCCGATGCGGGTTTTACTGTGATTAAATGAATTCAATTCAATTCAATACTAATCATAATTAACATTGCTAAACCATTTTCTCCTGCGGAAAAATCATGCTTGAATGCATACCTTCTCTATGTCTTCAAGGTTGATGGCGGAGTTCCCGGACCTCTTGCTGTTGCTGTAGTCCTGGCCTAGGTACTGCTTGCTCAGGTTGTTGAGCATCGGCAGCAGGCGGCCATCTTCCTCCAAGTGGGGTATTCCTCTAGCCGTGATCTGCCAAGGAGACATTTATACAGTGAGTAAGGTGGGAATGGCGAACGATGGTGCCCATCTTGTCATATACATGTATATGCAATAGAACAATCAACAAGAGTTATTTGTCTATAATCCAAATATATTTTTAAAAAGTCTTGATCCATCCAGTCCCACCACCTCCTGCTATGTCTCACTCTCACAAGTAGAGTCTATGAGATAAGTTTGTGATCATCATAAGTTTTTTCCATTATCTTGATAAAAACAGTGTTTCCATTGTACAATGTACCGCGACTTGTCTTTCATGAGTCTGTTTTGCCTTATAAATACAAAAATCTTTTCTTGGTCGTGAAGTAAATATAAGATAACCTACATGTACATGTAGTAAAACAAAAATAGCAATACTTTTCAACCCTCATATAAAGTCATTGTTTTTTAAATGTTATAAAAAGCGACTTCCCACTGCGATGTAATCTGTCTCTTGCTATCATCCACTTCTCCTTTTCTCCCTCTCTTGGTGTGCAATTTAGCATTCGTAATTTTTTTCTTGCAACAAATAATTCATACTTAACCCATTGCCTACATGAACCGAGTGGTCCCTGTATTAAAGGTAAAGACCAGTATTGGAAATGCCCCAATTTCAAAAAATGAAATGGAAGCTCTCATTACCAATCATGTGAAAGAATATGTTTTGACTAATACATGATGATAACAAATTTGCCGGGAAACCGCCTACTAATTCATATATTTGGTAAATTTGTTTCTCTCATGGTCTGTGAGAGATATAGGGTAGTCCCATATACATCTTTCTTTGTATAGTGCTTGTAACTTTACGAAGAACGGGCCAAATTTCTTATCATTTTGATGATTCCAGAACCTTGCAGATGCTAGATGCTAGATGATCAACCTTTTCTGATCGATTCCACAACGTTTCTTTCACAATGCAATCGCATGACCATAACTGGTCTTTATCTTTAAGTGTATTGGAATAAGAGAATTTACATGTAGAAGTCAGGGGGTTAACTTACAGCGAGACTCTGAGATAGATGAGACCTGAAAGCTGTTATTACAATGGATACCAACTCACTGTGTGGTACAAAGGCATATCCCTGGAAGGAGAAAGAAAAACCGAAAGAAATGTTATTGAACCTTTATGACAGACCAGAAGGCTACATCACTCTTAATAATTCGGCTCTCACTATTGCAACATTACACCTTGACAACAAGGATTCCTGCATTTCCTACTCATAATAAAATCAATGACGGTTTTCCATGACTTTGCAATGATAGACTAAATAAAATCTAGGACCTGTTTTCTTAACATCATATAAATTTAAAAAACGTATAGTACTGTCCGCCCTTTTAACTGTAAATGAACCCATCATTCATCAATTTGATAATGATTCAGAACATGTCTATGGTTGATCTTAATTTTCTACAAATTTTCCATGACTCTGGTACTTTTCTATTCTACAAATTTTTTTCTATTCAAAACTTGTTTAGGCCTGGATATTTTTCCATTTTTCCATGACTTTTCCACGAAACCCTGGATGTACATGTAATTCAAGAATGAGAGACCTACTTTTTGAATGAAGACCTTCCTCCCTCTGACCAGGTCCAATGCCTCTGTGAAAGGCACCTTGAAGAAGTCTGTATGGGCCATCATGGATGCGCTGATCCCCGACGACGATCTCACCAGCTTCTCATTCAATGCGTCCTTCTCGTTCTCAGGGATCTGCAAAAAATAAGAATCACAGGAGATATCATTGATATTGCACTTGAAAGGGTATCGGTATCATGGTATGGAGGAGGGGCGGGGAGCACCGGTCTAACAAAGTGAGTGAAATTAACAAGATCTCTTGTTACAGATGTAGCAGTGAGGGGAGTCCTTTCATTTACAGGTGTAGGCTCCTTTTTCTCTACTATCTTTTTTTTCCATATCATTTTGATGATGGAAGTGCCCCTTGAAACCACACCCTAAACACTGGCCAAATGTGTCAACACATTTCATGGTTTGGCTCAATTATTTTTTATTCACGGCCCTACAAAATATGCCATCCATCCATTTTTTGTCTCATGACTATATTGCATTTGATGCTAGGAATTTTATAAAGGGAATCAAGTTTTTAAATAGTTATAAACTCGCAAGACATTGAGAAATACAAAAATCCTTTGTTTTTAATAAAAACTAGCCATTTCAAAAGCTTTTTGACATTTTTGCCCATGTATATTTTGTTTTCAGAGACATTGAATTATATTCTATCAATAAAAGAAAATTATTGTTGTTGCCAATTTGAAGAACAATATGTGATCAAAGGTCCAAAAATAAACCCCCGTCCTAAAAGGGTTAAAGAGTGATGCAAACTCAAATAGGAAGTATCATCTACATGTAGCTTCACTCACTGGGGTATAATGAAGCTTGTTTTCAGCCAGGAATTGAGTGACAGATTCACTGTATTCCCTCAGAAATCGATATCGGAACAGATCAAGCTCTTGCTGAATGAACCATCGCCTCAGATCTTCCCTGTATAGCATCGTTTGTAGAGACAATTGAAAATAAATAAAGAGTGGTTGGGGGGAAATAACATAACTGTACATCAAAAGAATTTATGATGGTTGGCAGTTGCTAAACGATAATTATGATATACCGGTACAAAGATATTGAAAACCATTCACAGAGTAAATCGTGTTTGATATACTGTACTGCGCATCTACTATTACAACAATTCTTGAATCAAGATTTATCAAAAAATACTAATTGTTAAATGGAGGACTTTTTTCTATCATCAAAACAACCAAAGTACCAAGAAACTACCTCTGAGGATGATGTAGGAAAGAGGAATAGAAATTTAAATAGATGAGGGTTTCCTAAATTTACATGAAATGTTGTTAAAGATGATTCAGTCCTAAATCTCTCCTCATCATCGCATTTTCTTTTTCTAAACAGTGATGTAATAATTACATACAGTGTATACATCAAATCTGCTTTAGTGACCACCTGTCTACAAAGACCACATTTTGGTTTCCCTTGAAAAAGGTTTCTCATTGAAACATGTATTAAAAAAACCTGTACATAAAGACCACTTGCCTATAAAGAACACTTTTCTTGTTTCCTTGGGTGGTCTTTATAGACAGGTTTCACAATATTTTGCACTTGTCCTAGTATAGTTGTACACAACTTTCAGATGAAGGATCATTCAACTTACGATCTGCAGTACGCCAACCTCAAGATGAAATGTGAGATTCGGTCATCTCGCTTGTGAGCTGCCAAATCTTCTCCACTCATCTGTCATGGAAGAATAAAGACAATTCACATTTATGCTGGAATCAATCAAAGTCATTATTAAAGTCATTATGTTTTTCTTTTCTTTGAGGGAAATGTGATATGATCGTGCCTAGAGTTCCTATAATAATACCATAGCATTTGTAATGCGCCATCAATCTAATAAATTATTCTGAGGCGCAGAGGGAGATTATTACCATGGTTTTAGCACGACTGTCATTACGGCGCTCTAGCATTTCAAGGAATTAATTCCTGCCAGGTACCCGGCCTTATACATCACCTGGGTTGAGTGTGGCACATGTAGATCAATGTCTTGCCAATTAGGACATTAGTGCCTTGGCGGGACTTGAACCGGATCTTGTGATCGACAGTCTGTGACGTATCCACTCGACCACGACACCTCGTATTTAGACCTACCAAAGGTCAGGTACCTCATTCATCTCTGGGGGCATTTTACAAAGCCTTTTTTCAATGACAAATGACAAAAATTAGTGACAAATCGGCTGATAACCAATCAGAAGCAAGGATTTCAGTAGCTTATAACAAAAACTGTCATTTGTCACTGATAACAAGTTTTGTGAAACGGCCCCCTGGTTTCCTGGGATTGAGCCCGAGGTTGACAGGATTAAACATTCTGTATCGAAACCAAGGCTACACTCTAGGGTGTTTTTGTTTTTCAGTTAAGGGGCTCAAGGTGACATTTTGGGGCTCTCTTTGCCTCTGCCAACACTAGCAAACCTTCTAAAACCTAAATTATAATTTTTCAAAACAATATTAGGAATTCAGTATATTTGTATAAATTGTACACAGAATGGTTGATTCGTTTTAGAAAAATAGTGCAACCAAAGGTTCGGAATGTAAGTTTGAAGGCTGAAAAGTTAGAATCACTCCTTCAAAAGTTAAAAATAGTAATTGGTTAGCAGCTATTTAGGCCACCTGTAAACACTTTGAAATTTGTGGGCTAAAGTAAAATTTGTGGGAACCAAGGTAAATAGGGGCTCCTCTGTATTGGGTGCCTGTTAGTGTCCGGCCTTGTTGTAGGATTTAAAGGCATCGTTTAACAATGTTAAATCTGAGATGCATGGCCCTCCATATTATCAGTGTCTGTAATATGGTGTTATATAAAAAAAGCCCTAAAAAAAAAATTGCGCCTCAAAATGATTATGAAGTGTCTCAAAAAAGTTTTTTTTTTTTAAGTGAACGGTTTTACTATACCATACTTATTTTCCCCAATAGACTGTAGTGTTCTAAAAACCGTTAGGAAAACGCAAAATTTGATTCGATTTCCAATCACAAATATCCTGATAATAAGATCGGCGATCGGCTTGTAAGAGTCATGGGATTCCTGACTGACCTAAAGGTTTATAATTTTTATCGCAGCATGAGCTAAATCCAGGATTTTCTTTCAGAATCTGAGGCAATGTTACAGAGTCACTTTAATGATTAGCCCTGTAAGATTCTCTTGATCATCTCTGGAAATGGGACCATATCGCTTTTCTTTTTGAGGAGATAGATATAATTTGAGATACCATACCTTCCTGTGAGCAATGGGCATCAATTTCTTGAGTTCTTTATCCATCCTTTCATTGTACTCCTCGCTTCCTTTGACATGTCGGATACCAACAGATTCAACATGCTTCAAAACTGGGAGAAAAAAAAGAAAGAAAGAAAAATAAATATCATTTAATCAAGTTCAACTAGACTAGAATTCAGAAAATCAATATTACAGACAGAATTTCCTCGCATCCCTTTTTATTTGGCCCCCTAGTGACAATGATAGATTAGTAATAGTACTTTATAGGATCTCGTGACTTTTTTTGGAGTGCAAGTAGAGTCTAATCTTCATAAATCATAGCTAGGCCTAGTGAATGATCATTAGCTGCAATGAAATACATGCACCCTAATATAATAATAATGAAATGTTTGTGAATTGTAAAAAAAAAAAAAATTGATGATTGTCATAGTCTAGATCTACAACAACAATAACCATGAAAACAACATTTATAAATCAACGACAATCAAGTGCAACAGGTTGCAAATCTATGATTGAATTAACTCACCAAATGTTGTGTCCAAAAAAGTAAGAGCACATTTTTTTTTTGGTCTCGTTTTTTGATGTGCTAAGCTTACCATAATGTTTGGCGGGAGGTTTTTTCATAAACTGGGAGATTCTACATCGAAGCGAGAGAGCAGGAGGAAAGGCGTGCTGGCGGGAGTCTCCCGCTAGATCTATAACTAAGCTTGCCAGTATTGGGGTGGCGGGAGAATGAGCGTGGTGGTGTGAGACTCCCTCCAAATGTGGGAGGGTTGAAAACCCTGATTAATTTATCAAGAATCAAGTCTAGATCTAGACGTAAACTTGAAAACAAGTTCCAAAAAAATTATAGACCCCTAGATCTAGATCTAGTAGAGCCTAGAGGGTCTAAGTTTTAACTGCAGCGTTACAAATTGTGGCACACCGTCATAACTCATAATGTGGAAATTCAAATACAGATTCGTAATCAGTTTCTATTTTGCCAACATGAGCAACCAACAAAGTCTCAAAGAAAGTTACTAACTGTACAGTGTACACTTTGTCTTAGACCGAAAGCTTCAGTCTCTATAATCGTCGATTGTTCCACTGAGACTACGTCTGGCTCCACTAGACCTCCGGTTATAGAGACAGAACGATCGCCTATGCCAGCCTGTGTTGAACTTATTCCGCTAGATTTTAGCCGCTAGGCCCCTCCCACAAACTTGCCACGGCCGTATTGTTATGCCCCCAAAATCCCCCAAAATGTCATTTTACCTCGTTCATTTCTAATTTTAAATTAGGCCTAGGCTATAATACATCGGTTCCACTTACTAACTTGATTGATATAATCCGTTTAATGGTCCCTTTTAAGGAAATTATCGGTCAAAATCGACATCCATGTTGAAAATCTTGCAAGCCGTGTTAAACTCTCGCTGCCGTCGTGTGTGTGTGTGTATTGGGTTTTTACAGACGTGTATCAATCAGATATGATTATTTACGTCTGGGGCCGACCTTTAAACGTCACCATCCGAAAGACGTGACTCAGTTTCGAACCTGCGTCCTCGGCTGAATCAGTTTGTAACTTCCACTTTTTAGCTGGATTACAGGCGCACGCCACAACGCCTAGTTGTCAATCTCATCCCTTCTAGTCTACGCCGAAGGCAAAATGATTATGAAGGAAAAACTGTGATAACGCCATTACGAACGTGTAGATGGCGCACAGTTTTTCCTTCATAATCATTTTGCCTTCGGCGTAGACTAGAAGGGATGAGATTGACGGCAGCGAGAGTTTAACACGGCTTGCAAGATTTTCAACATGGATGTCGATTTTGACCGATAATTTCCTTAAAAGGGACCATTAAACGGATTATATCAATCAAGTTAGTAAGTGGAACCGATGTATTATAGCCTAGGCCTAATTTAAAATTAGAAATGAACGAGGTAAAATGACATTTTGGGGGATTTTGGGGGCATAACAATACGGCCGTGGCAAGTTTGTGGGAGGGGCCTAGCGGCTAAAATCTAGCGGAATAAGTTCAACACAGGCTGGCATAGGCGATCGTTCTGTCTCTATAACCGGAGGTCTAGTGGAGCCAGACGTAGTCTCAGTGGAACAACCGACGATTATAGAGACTGAAGCTTTCGGTCTAACTTTGTCTTTGACTCACCTGCCAATCTTCGTTTTGCCAGCTCCTCGAATTCAGAGAGGGAAATGTTCTCGATTGGTGGAATGCGATAAAACAACAAATGAGGCTCTTTCGTTTTGTCGACGAATGACTCCTTCTTGATCCTCTTTTTAGTGCTGTTCTCTGAGAATTCCATGTTTTCTTGATCCTCTCAAATATTCTTGTAAGTAAAAACTAAGATGACACTGCAGACTGGCAGTTAGACAATGACTGTGTTTGACGTGAATGGATGCCAATTTTGCCGGGTCAGTTTCCCGTACAAAATTTCCCGCGTTTGCCAATATCACCCGCAAGAGGGTGTTCTTACTTCCGTAAACACAAATCCAAGATGGCAGCGCCCATGAGCATCATGAATACTGTCAGATGGATTTCAAAATCTGTGAAAATATCCAGATTACATGTATCTCGTGGAACTTTCTTACCTGTCAGATACTTATCTTTAGTTAGGTCGTGTAAATCACTGGTATACGAAAAGTATGGAGATCCAGTAAAGGTGGTAAAGTAAGTTGTCAAATAGATCTGTCCATTTTTATCTGTAGTCCCACGCGTGATAAACTGTGTTCGTGCTTAATCTGATAAGCATGGGGGGGGGGGGGGGGGGGACAGTTGGATTTTGGCCCGAGGCCATGATATTTGATTTTGAATGCTAATTCTTATTCATACTAGATCTATAAGTCGTTTCAATATGCTATGCATAGGGTCTATATTGAATAGAGTGCGTCCCAGAAAAAAAACGAAAATGAAAACTAGTCTAGAATCTAGTCTAGACTCTAGTTCTATGTAATTGAATCACAATTAATAATAAAAATCACATGTTTATAAGGCTGAGGTGTCGTATGAAAGGGTAAAAAAATAACTTTCTAGAAATGTTGTATTCACTTGGAAATTCTGATACCATCATCAGCCAAAACTTGGCAAAAGACTTTTTGGTACCCTTTCTTCAAATTGATATCAATCACTCATGCCTGAAATATGCATCATATGAGTTGCATCAAATGAAAGAGGAGGATCTAAATATAATCTTTATAGGCTCAGGCCTCAATTAGGAAAAATGAGTCAGGAATAACCAAGTTCTATTAGTCTACTTAAAAGTAATGCTTGCATTTCCATATTAACGATTTCGTTTTCACTGGCTGCCTGACGTAGCAACAAACAATTGACAAAAGACTGAACTACGTTTCGTTGACAGTCAGCCGTTATAGATATTAAGAGAATTTTAATTGTTTGTTTGACCATCATTTTTATTTGATCATCGTGTCTTGTATTTTTACCTAGGTTAGAGCAGTGGCCTATTCCAGAGGTTGAGGATGATTCTGTTCTTGTGAAGATGATCGCATCCCCTGTCAACCCATCAGATATCAACTCAATACAAGGTGTGTGTGTGTGTGAATAACCTTCCTCCCTGAACAATACCATGATGAAACACCCTGCAGCGCAGTGACAAATCCACAGTGCTGACTTTATTGATACACCCATTTTGCAGAACACAAACCCCCAAAACAGATTTGCAGTGAATATACTGCTCTCTAAAAATAGGATAAGATTCAAGAATTAAGTTTGATGTTTTAAATAATTATTATTGAATTAATTATTGGAAAAAAAGGGGAACACAAAGAAGTTTGCTTTTTTTTTTGGAAGAACTGCAGTTTAGAAAGCTATGGTAGGCTCAAAGTCCTGCATTGGCTGCCATAACTCACTCATATTTCTTCTGCTAATCTATACATGTTTACAATTACAACAACTGCAATTACAATAACGTAGCAACAATGTTCATTTTTTATAATGACTATTAAGATGAAAGTTTTCTTGTTGACTAAATTTGTATTTGTATTTGTATTTTTTGTATTTTTTGTATTTTTTGTATTTTTTGTATTTTTTGTATTTTTTTTTAGGGGGGGGGGGGGACATTTAGTATTTTAGTATGCTTCTCTTTAAAGTAATAATGAGCTTCCTTCTGTATATACTTTCTGTGCAATTATGATAGAAATCTTCGGAACATTTTCTTTTAAAGAATGGATATTCATCCAGTGAGAATATTCCCTTACAGGTATATATAATCATGTCTGATTATTTCTTCTGCTAGGTATCTACCCAATCAAGCCAGCCTTCCCAGCTGTGGCAGGATTTGAAGGAGTAGGAGAGATTCAAGAAGTTGGTAGCAATGTCAAGGGTTTGACACCAGGAGAGAGGGTTATCTTCCAAGGAAGTGTGACAGGTTAGAACCAGTTTAATCTGGTCTGAAGAGGACAAATCCAAGCTTATTTTTTCTAGTTAATTTTGTCACAGACTTAATGGAGAAGTGACGTAGTTGAGTGGTTAAAGCACTTGACTTGAAATTCAAAGGTCGTGTGTTCGATCCCTGACACTGCACTATAAATGTCCTTTGGCAAAGCATTAAACTGCATTTGCCACTCAATACCCAAGAGAGAAATGGGGACCCGGTAGGATGACAAAAGCATTTATGTCAGTAATTGCCTATGCCCTCATGGTGACCATCTGGTAGGAATACTCGGTAACCCGACACATGCTCCGCCGACGATTGCTCCGCCGACATTTACTCCGCAAAACGCGACAATTGCTCCGCGACATTTGCTCCGCGACATTTGCTCCGACGTCAAATGCTCCGCCGACAGGTGCTCCGCCGACAGTTGCTCCGCCGACAGTTGCTCCGCCGACAATTGCTCCGCCGACAGATGCTCCGCCGACAATTGCTCCTCCGACAATTGCTCCACCGACAATTGCTCCGCCGTCAATTGCTCCGCAAAACGCGACAATTGCTCCGCCGACATTTGCTCCGCCGACATTTGCTCCGCTTGAAGCGACACTTGCTCCGCCGACATTTGCTCCGCCGACAATTGCTCCGCCGACAATTGCTCCGCCGACATTTGCTCAGCCTGAAGCGACACTTGCTCCGCCGACATTTGCTCCGCCGACAATTGCTACGCCGACAATTGCTCCGCCTGAAGCGACAATTGCTCCGCCGACATTTGCTCAGCCTGAAGCGACACTTGCTCCGCCGACATTTGCTCCGCCGACAATTGCTTCGCCGACAATTGCTCCGCCTGAAGCGACAATTGCTCCGCCGACATTTGCTCCGCCGACATTTGCTCCGCCGACATTTGCTCGGCCGACAATTGCTCCGCCGACCATTGCTCCGCCTGAAGCGACAATTGCTCCGCCGACATTTGCTCCGACGACATTTGCTCCGCCCAAAAAGTGTCCCATAAACTACAAATGCTACTAGTACTACGACAAATGCTTCGCCGACAATATTTTCTTTACATCTATTTTTTTCGTTTCTTTTTTTCTTCTTCATTTTCTGAATGCATTTCTTGAAATAATCTAGATGAAATGAAATGAATGAATGTTGATGAAGTGGGAGGAAAAAGGAGTTACCTAAAAGTCATTTCGAATATACTGAAATAACTTTCCATCTATCACTGTACGTCCCATATAATGTATACTAAACACTCATTACATGTCGTGGGAAGTTTTTAAAAAAAAGTAGAGCAGCAAGCCACATTCCCCAATACGCGCATACCTCCTAGTTAATTTCAAGTAGCTCATCAATATGTAATACCTGAAATTACCTCGATCAATGCATCTTACTAGGTAAAGCATTATACAATGTAATAGGTCATCATGGAAGTTTAGAAAATAAGTAAGGGGGATTTACCAAGTGTTGATCTTTTCAAGAGTTTTATAAAGAAACAAAATGATATTGAATATTTCTCAGCGAAAAAAAGGAACAAGCTTGTTTCGCATTTTAAGAAATGGCGATTTGACTTATGATACTCATGTTGATTTAACTTTTATTCCTGTGCCCCCTCACTCCCCTTTATGCACTGGAGTTCAAACTATGATTTATATGTGTACAGTGTATTTTTTTTTTACTATAATGTTTTTTTTTTATAACTTTCTTGTCCTTTCATTATTGTTAGTTGTTCTTATACATATTGTTTTTTTTGTTTGTCTAATTATTACCAATGACTTGTAAATATGTAATTTTTATATGATTGAAAATTTAATAAACACACAAATATTAAAAAAAAGTTAGAAAATAAGGGCACTTATATACGTAAGGAAGAGAACCCATTCAGACGGGAAAATGAGATGGCAGCCTTTCTGCTTATTCACATTTATACAAATCATTTTGTTGCAGTTTGTTAGTTCTTCATGATAAGCCAATTGCTCTACTTCCGGTGGCTTCGTGAGTCCCTTAAATTATTTAGTGAAAACAAAGTACTCCAATGAAACGGAGTGTTTTGCACACTAACATATATATATATTAAAGCTACATACACTTAACTAAAGGAAAGAAACCTTTAGAAAATGGACTGGATATTATTGAAAATATTATTCTAAACAAGAATGTACTAGGCCTACATGATTGTATTACTTTACGTTTCAATTTCACGAGAGAAATAGAACTCGAGAGGGGGAGCAGAGAAGAAGTGATGGAAATGAAAGAAGACTAATAGCATGAGAGGAAAGAAAAGAGCAAAGAAGACAAGAAAACGGTGTAAACAGGAAAAGGAGGAGCATGGGAGAGAGAGAAAGAGAGTGAGAGAGATAGCCTTGAGCTTTGGATCAGCTAATGAGTAATACATGAAACAGATTTTGAGCGGAGTAATTATCTTTCGCCGGAGAACTTGCGTAAGGAGCTATAATTTTATTTTTATTTTTTTAAATCAAACATTATGGGGAATAGCAAAAAACGGTTGTCTTTTTTGCTCTTTTCTTTCCTCTCATGTTATTAGTCTTCTTTCATTGAGGTAATTTCAGGTCTTACATATTGATGAGCTGTTTGAAATTAACTAGGAGGTATGCGCGTATTGGGGAATGTGGCTTGCTGCTCTACTTTAAAAAAAAAAAAAACTTCCCATGACATGTAATGAGTGTTTAGTGTACATTATGTGGGACGTACAGTGATAGATGGAAAGTTATTTCAGTATATTCGAAATGACTTTTAGGCAACTGCTTTTTCCTCCCACATTATCAACATTCATTCATTTCATTTCATTTACATAATTTCATGAAATGCATTCAGAAAATGAAGAAAATAAGAAAGAAACAAAAACAACCCGTGAAAAAAAAATATTGTCGGCGAAGCATTTGTCGTAGTACTAGTAGCATTTGTATTTAATGGGACACTTTTTGGGCGGAGCAAATGTCGTCGGAGCAAATGTCACCGGAGCAAGTGTCGCTTCATGCGGAGCAAATGTCGTCGGAGCAATTGTCGGCGGAGCAAATGTCACCGGAGCAATTGTCGCTTCAGGCGGAGCAATTGTCGGCGGAGCAATTGACGGCGGAGCAAATGTCGGCGGAGCAAATGTCGGCGGAGCAATTGTCGGCGGAGCAAATGTCACAGGAGCAATTGTCGCTTCAGGCGGAGCAATTGTCGGCGGAGCAATTGACGGCGGAGCAAATGTCGGCGGAGCAAATGTCGGCGGAGCAAATGTCGGCGGAGCAAGTGTCGCTTCAGGCGGAGCAAATGTCGGCGGAGCAAATGTCGGCGGAGCAATTGTCGCGTTTTGCGGAGCAATTGACGGCGGAGCAATTGTCGGCGGAGCAATTGTCGGAGGAGCAATTGTCGGCGGAGCATCTGTCGGCGGAGCAATTGTCGGCGGAGCAACTGTCGACGGAGCAACTGTCGGCGGAGCACCTGTCGGCGGAGCATTTGACGTCGGAGCAAATGTCGTAGAGCAAATGTCGCGGAGCAATTGTCGCGTTTTGCGGAGTAAATGTCGGCGGAGCAATCGTCGGCGGAGCATGTGTCATGGAACCGAATACTCCCCAGGGAGTGGAGATGGTGCACATTGTGCTTGAATGAATCCGATGACTGGGGTTATATATCTGTAAAGAGCTTAGAGACGGTATTCCCTATTAAGCGCTATACAACTCCAGATTCATGATTATTATTATTATTATGTCAGAATTTAGTATATACAGGTGTATATATCTGACTGATAATTGTTCAGTTAATTGCCTTAGCAGAAACTTTGATCAGACGAACTACTGGTGTGAAGTGAAAAGAGAAGATCTAATGTCAATTCATATTCATAATTGTACAATGCTTTGTAACATCTTGGACTCCAAGTGACCAAATACCTTGCACTTGCCCAAGACTTCTAATAACCACTTTTGTTCCAAGGTTTGAATTTGTTGAAACTACATCTTTTCTTTAAGCTTAGTTCCTATATTCCTATATAGTTCCTATATATTAAGGCCAAATTGTAATCAGTTCTTTAGTAAGCTTGGAAAGGGACAGGCATTTGTTAGGGTTATCTTTGTAGATGCAAAAAAAGTAAAAGTGACCCAGTAAAACCATACATGTAGTCAATCGAGATAGTCTCTACAACATATATTAGTTTGCAGGGGACCATCATGGACAGATTGCCTTTATAGAGATTTATCGCATTTTTATTTATTCAGCTTGAACATTTACAAAAAATTCTTTATTGTCATGTTGTGTTCACACAGGTACTTGGTGTTCACATCTTGTTTGCCCTGCCAATCAAGTGATGGTAGTTCCTGAAGACACACCCCCTCTCATCGCAGCAACTGTTAAAGTCAACGCATGTACAGCTTACAGAATGCTCGCTGATTTTGAGAATTTAGTAGAAGGTGAGTGTTAAAGGTAGCCATAGGAGAAACATGCTTAGAACCCAACAATTTGACCAAATGCCGAACTGATTATCATCATTTAAATTATAACAACTTTATTCTTGAAACGTTAATCCCTTTCAGTAGCTCCTAGAAGCTATTCAAGGATGTTTTATACAGTGCCTTTCTAGTAACAAGAAGTTTGGCAGTTAAGAATAACATTGGGTATTAAAGAGGCATTAAGACCTGTTTATAGAAGAAAGCTTTTCTTTTTCTCTCTATTTTGTATAAATGTAGGAAAAGTTGACTAAAAAATATGTCTCCACTATTTCCTTCATATTAAGCATACGGTAAGACAAATTAGAATTTTGTTTAAAGTAGATATTCATTGATTTTAAATCTAGCTTTATTTTCATTATTGCAAAGTTGAAACTTTGATTCGACAAGGTTATCAAAATTCAATGCTTGGAAACATTCGAAGTAATGATTATTATAAATTACAAAACGCTTAAATACAGCCCCGGCATAGCACCTGAATAGCTCTCCGAACGCTGCTGATATGTGTGAGATCACAGCAGGGACATGATTTGCACAAGCAGACGATGTCCCATGACATCTCACACATTTTCAGTGCCTGTGTTTTCATCTTCTCTTGAGTTCTTTCTCTTACTTCACTTCCGTCAGGCTAAATGTATAATCTATTGCCTCACTCTAAACCCCGCACATGGCTTTATTTTGATGACAAATGCAGCGATACAAAAAAAAAGGAATCTGTCGCTTGTAAACAAAATAAGACGCCATTGTATATTCAGCTGCGCACACCGCGGTATGTTCGGCGTTTCAAGAGGGAACAAATGCTGTCCTTAATATCAATCCGGGGGCTTTTCAATTTGAAAGTCTGGTTTCTTTGATTGTTATTAACCCCTATCCTGTGTATTTACAAGCCAAAGATTTTAGTTATCAGAATCGGGTCATGTCCCATTTTAATCGGTTTGACATGCCATTACATTTATATACACTAAACTCATTATAATTTGACAAATAATAGCTTTGCAATTATGTTTATTCTTTATGGTATGTCGTCTGCTTGGGCAGTATTGGTCCCTGTTGTGACGTCATTAAAACATCGTTATTTTTCTGGCGAATCTCTCGTATATCCCAGCTGCTATGGAGGTGGTTGTATTTTTATTTTTATAAATCACCCGATATGTAGCTGACCTCAAACTTGTACGATGGCCATCTGTTAGCTTACCAGTTTCTAGTGATACATTAGTTGACATATTTGTGATTTTCTTTGAATTTCACGTTTAAGAACATTACAAAGTGCAACATTGTACGTGAAAACATTGATTGTTTAATGTTTATTGTCAAATGATTTTGTCTGGTCATGAAAAGCAGTGTACTGCTGCAGAAATGAACTCATTTTTATGCCTCCGCCACCGAAGGTGGTGCCGGAGGCATCATGTTTTCGGGTTGTCCGTCCGTACGTCCGTACGTCCGTCTCGTTTGACCGTTATCACAATATCTCAAGAACCATTTAAGATTTAAACTTAAGACTCGGGAATAGTATTTATCACCATAGGAAGACGATCTGATTAGATTTTGGAGTACGTAGGTCAAAGGTCACAGGTCACAGAGGTCAACTTATGAAATTCCTTGTATTGAGTTTGTTAGCGCGATATCTCAAGAACCATTTGAGATTTAAACTTCAAACTTAAGGATAGTATGTATCACCATAGGAAGACGATCTGAGTAGATTTTGGAGCACGTATGTCAAAGGTCAAGGGTCACAGAGGTCAACTTATGAAATTCCATACATTGAGATTGTTATCATGATATCTCAAGAACCACTGGAGATTTAAACTTCACACTTAGTGATAGTGTGTATCACTATAGGAAAACAATCTGATTACATTTTGGAGCACGTAGGTCAAAGGTCAAGGGTCATAGAGGTCAACTTATGAAATTCCATACATTGAGATTGTTATCATGATATCTCAAGAACCACTGGAGATGTAAAAACTTCAAACTTAAGGATAGTATGTATCACCATAGGAAGACGATCTGATTAGATTTTGGAGCACGTAGGTCAAAGGTCAAGGGTCACAGAGGTCAACTTATGAAATTCCATACATTGAGATTGTTATCATAATATCTCAAGAACCACTGGAGATTTAAACTCCAAACTTGTTTAAATTGCTCTATGGCGGAGGCATCATTTTCGACTGCGCGCAGTCAAAATTCCATCTAGTTTTTAAATTGATTTTTAGCTCTTAGTGCTCAACTGTTATGTCTAAGTCATAGCATCCTGGATCAAATGGTTCAGACCAAAAACACCACTAACGGTTTGCAATGAAGGGCTTTTTAACCTTTCCCCTCCCAAGGTGACACGGTCATGCAGAATGCAGCTAATAGCGGGGCCGGACAGGCTCTCATACAGATTGCAGCAGCTAGAGGCTTAAAGACAATCAACATCGTGAGAGATAGACCTGACCTGCAGGAACTCACAGACTACCTTCACGGCCTGGGAGCAACCGTTGTAACTACAGAGGGTGACCTTCGAAAGGGAGCATCGACTTTGCTGAAGGTTCGTCTTGAATTTGATCAGGTTGAAGGAAATACGCTGCGGGATATTTGAAAAGGGCACAGTTTTTGTTGTTCTCTTTATTTTTTTCTTTCTATGCAGTGTTATGAAGGATAATCCATGTTATCTTGTGATGAATGATTTTGATGTGCAGAAATGTGGGATTCAGTCTTTTCAATTTCCCAATGAATACATATATGTAAGAACATTGATTCTGAGCATAATGGTCCATATTATTACTTTGATGACATAATGCTTTTCTTCTTTTTTTTGTGGGGGGGGGGGGGGAGGGGGAGGGGTGCACATGTATATCCTCATATATCATGCATACACAGGTGCATTGTGAACAAATCTGAAAAGATATTGTAAAAGCTTTTCATTGGTGAGTTACAGAAGTAGCTTCCAAACAATAAGTCTTCAAGAAATATTTTTACTTGATTTCTCTGTGGTTATTTATATATTTTGGGAATTTTACATGTAGGCATTATTCTTTCTCCTCAACAGGACCTGCCAAAACCTAAACTTGCAGTGAATGCTGTCGGTGGAAAGAGCATCATAGCTCTTGTCAAACAAATCCAGTGAGTAAACTTCTTTGAATTTTGACAAATCTTGTGCTATCTTGTGCTATGAATCAAGTATGATTTGCAACGTTAGATTGTTGAGTAAAAGAAAATAGTATCTAATCTTATGTTTAGAAACGAGTATTTGAATAAATCATGTGGTTGAAATTTTTACTTTTTTAATATTTCTATTTTATTTTTTATTATTTTTTTTTTAAATTCCTTTTTGTCTTTTATTCTTCTCTTTTTTCTTTTTTTTCCTTAATTTTTTTCTCCCCCTTTCCACTTTTCATTCTTTTTCCAGAGGTTAGTTGAATCCTAAAAAAATTATGTTATCTTGTAATAACAAATCTATTAGGACAAATCATCGGTTATTGTCTGCACAAATCTAGCTGCTTGATGCCTTTGCCATTTGTACTGATCAGTGGCTCAATGGTAGAGCAATGGTCACGTAACCAAGAGTTCCTGGGTTCAAAAGCAAGTCAATGCACTTGTGCCCTTTGGTAAGGCATTAATCCTCATTACCAAGCCCCTTGGAGAGGACTTAAAGCCATCAGTCCCCTGGTTGCTTACCCCTGGTTACTTAAAAGCATATACATGCTTTCTTTTTAGTCAAGTAAAACAATCATCGACCATCAACCTTCTTTTTCTATCCTTCTCTCTTTGTCTCTATCCCTCACTCTTTCTCTCCCTTCTTTTACAGACATGGCGGTACTATCGTTACATATGGAGGAATGTCCAAGCAGCCCGTCATGGTCCCAACAGGGTCACTCATCTTCGATGACCTCAAGTTCAAAGGTTACTGGATGAGCAGATGGCATCAAGAGAATGCTGGAAGTAAGTCGACCCTTGACCTCATTAATAATGATAATATCCTGCTTGTGTATATTGCATTATGATACAGCATGTCTATGTGTGTTTTAAAGGCTTTTGGAATTATTAATCCAGCTTTTGCTCCAACAAGCATTTTTTTTTTTTTTTTTAATTTTCTATTTCACATATTTATACAGGGTATCTCATTCAGATTAAAAACTGGTCTTCCATAAGGCCCTGTCTCAATAAAAATACGCATATATACACATTTCTCGAAACAAAATCGTACAATATCAGCATATAGTGCATTTCAAGGAATAAATCCAACAGGCACCCACTTAACACCTGGGTAGAGAGTGGCAATTGTAAATTAATGTCTTGCAAAGGAATATTACATGAAGTTCCATGATGTTGCTAATACCCATCAAGTGCATGATTGGATGGAGCATGATCGATGTCTCTAAACATTGTTCATATGACCAAGAGATTGATGCAGAGCTAAAATGGAAACTGCTTTGTCACTACATGTAGATTGAGTTTGAGGTATTACATAGATTACTCCTATACTATAATAAAACTTAAAACCTGACCACTGCACTACTTATAGCTACTTGCGCCCTCTATATAGCAAACAGTGCCTAAGCGGTGCCAGTTCATCCCCCATTAACCTCTTTTTCTTATGTTCATCCCCCATTAACCTCTTTTTCTTATGTTAATTGAGAGCTGATTTGATGAGATAACCACCTGCCAGTGACCTTGCAGGGAGGTCTAATCCCCCTGGCAAAAGTAGTGCAGACGGGCTTTAAAGACTCCTTCTATTAAGTTTGTAAAGACCGCTTTGAATTGTATAAATCGGATATTGATATTTTTTGTTTAATACTTTTTTAAATTTTTGATATTTTTTTATATATTTTTTTTTTTATTCAACCAGGCGAGGAAGCCAGACAGATGTTTGATCAACTCTGCAGATGGGGTGGATCGGGACAACTGAGGGCGCCACAGCACAGACTGGTTGACATTGAGAATTATGGCAGTGCCCTGGAGAAGGCTTTGGGTGAATATTCCACGGAGAAACAAATCCTCACATTTGGGTCATGATGGACCCTTGCTTGACCCCTGATATGATGTGACCTTTGAACTTTTGTACAGGAGTAACTTGTTCTGTTCGGTTTTACAGACATCTTTGATGAAGGATTGTAAGTGGGTCACGTTTCATGGGGGAATACGATTGAACCTAAGTAGATATTCTACCAGTAAGGATCAAGGAATTTAGATTTTTGTTGATTTCAGCTTGGAATATTATGCTTTATTTATTCAGTGGTTCAGCTACAGCAGTCGTCAGAAGTATAAGAATGAAATAGATGGAATTGTATATTAATGGAAAACTTATAAGCTATAGATTATAATGATATCAATTATATGCTATTTTAGTATCTGTCAGAGGAGTAATGGCTCTCTGAAACTCACAATCTAAAGCTTCTAAAATCAGAAGTTGTCAACCTAAAAATCGACTTGATGACATCATCTTATGTGGGGTATGCATTATGACTATGCATTAATTAACCATGGCATATCGCCTCAGCTATATAGGCGAGCCAATTGGGTCCACACGTTATGTCGTCACTGTAACTGCGGTATATTGGACCCGTTGATCCGCAATCTTGAGGGATGTGGAAAATGAGGTTTAAATTTGCTTTTGTGCAAAACAGAAAGGGAAAATATATGAGTGTTTCTAAGTATTTGTATTCTATGTTCATTCAGCTTTCCATTGATACCAAGTTGTATTTTGATCTGATGGGGTCTTTAAGAAAGATTTTTAATTTGTCTTACTTTGCCTTTCTACATGTAAGTTACATTGTTTGCTGCTTGTGGTAGGAATAATCCCATCCTAGGGTTATTTAGCCGGGATAGAGGCATCGTAAGAACAAAAGCTCCCCCCCCCCCCCCCCCTCAATAAATAAAAAATAAATAAATAATTGTAAGTGGTATTTCAGTACAAATTCTGTTGACCTGTATATAACAAAGTTTTATTTTCATACTCCTACTCAATACTGTCCTTTCACTTATGGTAGGATGTCCATGTACACAATTACTTTCTCAATCACTCGACACGTTAATTAAGGAGGCATTGAAACAATAAATGGTCGGAAAAGGCAGTTATTTTTGTGCAATATTTTTGTGTATTTTTTTGTCTATCAGTTGACAAAGTGCAAAATAAATAAGTTTGACAAAAAAAGATGCTCAGAAATAGAGCCACCAGGAGTAAGAAAATTCCTAACATTTGGAAATACCTAAAACATGTCAAAAATTGACACACTAAAAACTCGAACGATTCCAACAAGATAGATCTCTATGAAAAATCTCTCAGTACAATGTCTTAATCTTTTCAACCACATTATCACATATAAATAGCAAGTGAACAGAACATCTTATAAAGATAAAATGTACAAAGAGTTGGTATAAACAAGTTTGAACGGTTAGTTCTTCAAAAAGGCTAAAACTGTATAAGAAACAAGCACAGTGTGCAACGCAATAAAACTATTCTTCAATATTTCTCTTCATTGCAAATACATTATGTCCACTCTTGTTCTCCTTAAAGAGTGGATAATTCCATCTTTGTATAATTTTCTAAGATTGTGCAAATGCAATTGCAAAATTCTACAGTGAATGCGAGGGAATTCACATTATTTATATCTATTAAGCATAATTTTGTAGCTCTCTCAAACACAACTAGGAGATATTCTACACAATAGAACTTTAAGAAGAAAACAGCGCAATATAATACAACAAAATCAAAATCAAAATGTAGACCCTGTAAAAGAGCAATGGTTAAAGGGGTTGTTTATAGACATCCTTGAACAGAAAATAAAGACGACATATGTGTATTTTTAGGAACATTGCAACAGAAAGAGAACTAAGAAATATTGCAAACCCAACATAAAATATGAAGAACATCAGAAAATCTCTCTCTGTGAACTTACCAAACAATGTGTAAACATAGTAAACGACTAAAACAAAATCCAGAAGTACAGTGTGTTTGTAGTTATTTAGAAAACAAATAAACACATTGTCACACCGAATAAAACACAAGCATCTTTCTAATGATCTATGAAAAGGCAAGTGCTGCTACTGTCTCTCTTACACGGCAAGATTACGTAACTAGCTGATACTGACTCTGTCAATAAAATAAAAGTGATTCAATCGATTTCAGCAGAAATGGCTAAAACTCTAAATAATAAACACAATATTGCACTGACATCATGTCAACAGCCTGTAGAGAACTAATAAGAGGATATAAATAATACAATTTTTTTTCAACTGCCAAATTTTGCTTTTTGTAAACAAAAGAAGAAGGATTTGCACACTACTGTTTTGTGTTATATTTGGAAAACCAATAAACAGGGAATTAAAGATGGATGGAGTTGTGGAAGGGAAAACATCCTGTTTGAGCCAGAAAGGAATTAAAGATGATCTGTGCAAGCAATCCGTTGTTTGGGGGGGGGGGGGGGGGGGGGTACTCAGATTTGGTTTGAACGGGGTGTGTTGCTCAAACCTCGAAACCCCTACCCATTATTAGGGGTCATTTAGGGTCATTTCCCTCAAAAAAAAGACGCATTTTCCACAAAGTGGGACCCATGTTTAGGGATTTTTTGTAAAAAAGTTACCAATTAGAGCTGCACACCCCTGTATGTCCTAATATGTGAGTACCCCCCCCCCCCCCCCCCGGATTTGTTATGTCTTCTGCATGCTCAACATCAGCAGATGGCGCTAGTAAATTCAACATTTGGTAATGGACTTTACCATCATGATTGTGGCTCCAAATAGATAATATTGTACCCTTGACAAGAACAAAGTTCTGATGTTATGTATGACATGATATATATATATAATTTTAACAGTTTCAGAGGCAGAATGTTGCTAACTCTGTAGTATAATGAGTTAACGTCCTTCTTGCTTCGAACAGCCAATATATTGTTTCTTCAGAATCCCAGAGATGCTCACTCATCAAATAGTTTTAATAGCACAAAATTAAAATTGCTGTTGATTTGAGGTAATAAATAAACACATAAAATAGCACACCTAGTATGCACATAACTCTATAAAAGCAAAGCAGCAATTAAAGTATATCGCAAATGTCATTAAACTTTCTTTCTAACTACAAATATTTAAGTTCTTAAAGGCAAGGGCATATTCGAGTAACTTCATGTCAACTATTGTCCAATTTAAGTTGTCCATGTTCACCTATAAGATAATGATGACTTTTTAAAAACATCTGCAGAAAAGTGAATCACAAAAGTGAAAGTTGACCATTAAAAAGGAACAAACAAATTTTGTATAAGAATGTATAAAACGCCACTTTTTCAACACGGGTGGTCGGTTCTTAAAGGTATTTCACAATCTTTGATTCTAACAATTTTTCTGAAAATGTGCAAATCTATTGGATTTGCTAAAGGCTTTCATACTTCTACAACTACATGTATGCTTGATGAAAAGCAAAGGCATACAGTCAGAAAGCTGAAACACTGTATGTCACAATTGTACATAATCACCGTGTGTACATAATTACTGTGTCATCATTAAAAAGTAGAAAAATTGCAGAATCATTTCTTTCAAAATCTGTGCGCATAATCCACTCAGCAAGGCAATCATGATGCTTTATTTTTTCATTATCTTCTAACACCTTTCGCTTCCCATAGTACTTTCAAGACATTACTTCTTTTACACAAAGAAGATATAAACTAACATAAATTACTCAAAGTACTTTCAAAACTTCGTTCGAAATGCACATCTCTCCCCTGTGCTAATAAAGTCAAGTTAGTGGAGTTCAAAATGTCTCTTCAATTTCGAACATTGAAATAGGTTGTGTATACTTAAAATATAAAACATTTTGAAGTTATAAAGTCAAAACCTGTCTATAGAGGCCACACACAGGAACAAGCAGCGACCACTGTAGACAGGTGGCCTTTTTTAATATTTAGACAAGTTCCTCAACGCGATCCTTCTCAAGGGAGGCGATATAGGTGAACCCTGTATAGACAGGTGACTTTTACAGAGAGGTGGCCACTAAAACAGGTTTGACTGTACAATTTACTTCAGTGTCGCAATCAAACATGTGTTTTATTAATAAAGTCACCTGTATTTACAAGACTAGTACTATACAAGTGATTCTTCCTCAACTGTGAAACCTACACAGCACCATAGTATAGCTATTAACCCACTTTCACGTGGGTAGCCCATGTAGACCATCGGGAAATGATATTGCACATAATATGATAAGCACACCCAAAGTTGAAAAAGAAAAAACAGGAAAACGAAACAACAAAAAAACCTTGTCAAAACCAAAACCAAGAGAAGGAGGAAAAACATTCAACAGTATAAAAAATCTCAGTAAGAAATAGTGAAAGAGTTTACCGTATAATATATTTACATATCAACTAGCCAATAACACTGACTGACTTTTTCAACATATTTGTAATATATTTGCACATTTGACCGAGTTGTGAGAAAGATATTTATAGCAAGATTTTCCTTTCGAATCCACCACTGCTATTCAAAACAAGCAAACTCTGAACGTAACTTCAAAAGTACTAGCTTACTAAACTTATAGTAATGTGTAATTATATTATAACTATAAAACAACAGTTTTTAGATATAGAACATAAGACTAAAATCAGTATAATCAATTAAATAAAAGTCATTTTCAGTCACTGATGTAAATCGTGTCAATATACATGTATCCCTGTGCTTTGAAAAATCATGTGAGACACAATCTAGTTTTGGATGATTGTCTGGTTTACCATGGTTTTTATGGGTCAGATATCTTATAAATTTCAATCCTTTAAACTAATCATATCATGAAACAAGAGGCACTGTGTGTAATTCCTAAACATTATTGAGTTGCCAATTTGCCAATTTCTAAACATTATTGAGTTGCCAATTTGCCATTTTTCTATCATGAACAGCGGAGTGACACTTGAGCATCATTGCTGGGCTACATGTATTTCTGCATTGCCTTGTACTGAAATGAGATTATGAATTGCAAAATCATCTTCATTTTTCGCATAAAGAACTTTCACTCCTAATAAAAACAAGGACAAATACGGCATCCTAGCCCAAACTGTTTAAAATAATTATTATTGAAAGCAATTTTTATGAAACATAAAAATATCCATCCTATAAAATAAAGTGAGGACGAATTTCATCTTGAGATAATTCATATGAGCTGTAAAATATATAATGGAAGTTTTGGCGGAAGTGCATGAAGAGAAAATTATAGTTTATTTACTTAACAAATAATTAATCTGGACCTATATGTTTGTATACCCTCTCTGTTTCAGAACAGAAACACTGCCAGTTTCCCATTTCATAAACCCTGTAATTAATAAAAACCGTCTCATATCTATGACAAAATTGCTAACAGCCAATCAACTGCTTTGATTTCAGTAGCTTATAGCAGTTATTGTAACTTTTTATGATAACAAGTTTTATGAAACAGTAAATGGAAAATTAAACCTCCCAGATTTATATATACATGTACCAAGCATACACTTGGAAAAGGTCAAAACTATGGCTTTCTTTTGTTGTTGAAAAATATACCACTATAGTTTCTAGATGCTTGTGGAATAGGTGATTTGGAGTATCTATATAGTAAAAGGTGAGTAGCTTCAGTTGAGTTGGAGCAGCATTTGTTCTAGCTCATCGGCTGATCTATAGAGGAAGGCGGCCGACTCCCGATAACTTGTGATGAGCTGCCGTATGTTGGTTACCTCCGTCTGGCTAAGCTGCGTTTTGGAAGTCATCTTCTTAACGCTAAGGTCTGTTGGTCCTACAAGGGAAACATAGGAAAGAGATAACAAATTAAATATTAATAATGAAATTTTAAACGACTAAAGTCTGTTTGTAATTCAATAGCTAAGGGAAAGAACATAAATGAAAGATACATCAGGACTATATACATGTTTAAAAGAACATTATGTTTGTGATGGTGCAGTGATATTGCATTCATACCACAAATACTTCATACTGGAATACTTCCTGAAACAAATTTTATGAATTGATTTGGCGCAAAGATTATATGCCAAATTACAATTAATAATGATGATGATAGTCATATTATGAGAAGGAGAAAGAGAAGGAAGGAGGAGAAAGAGGAAGAATAGATATGGAAGAAGAAAAAGAGAGTGAGGGGAAAGTAAGAGAGAAAAGGATGCAAATGAAGGTTAAATTCATGAAGAAGATGAAGATATTGAAGATGAAAATAAAGAACAGAGAGGCAAGTAAGAATTTGGCAGAGGAAGAGCAGGAGGAGGAGGAGAAAAAGAAGAATAAGAAAGTACATGGATTAAAGAAAAGAAGAACATGTAAATGAGACTAAGATATCATCAAATCTTAAGATCAACAATTTGGGGTCACAAACTTGAAAATGGGGGCATACAAATGGACGTGGATTTCGGTTTTCATACCATTTGTAAGTTGAGCATGTTGCTGATTAAAGCCTGTTTGCAATTCAAGAGCTAAGAAAAATGAAATAAAAAGACACATCAGGACTATAGACATGTAGAAAATGGATTTTTTTTTTTGTGATGCTGCAGTGATATTTCATTCATACCAAAAATACTTCATACTCTGAAACTAATTCCATAAATCTATTTAACACACAATCTTATACGCCAAAGAAAGGGAGATAACAATTAATACTGATGGTGATAATCGTCTTATGAGAAGAATAAAGAGGAGGAAAGAGAAAAAAAGAGAAGAATATATATGGAAGGATAACAAGAGAGTGAGAGAAATTGAGAGAGAGAAAGTTTGCAAAGTTAGGAAAAAAGAGGCTGATGATAATGAAGATGAAAAAATGAAGAAAAAAGGCAAATAAGAATTTGACAGAGGAAAAGGAGGGCGAAGAGAGAAAAACAAGAATAAGAACTTGTAAATAAGTCTAAGATATCTTCAAATCTCAGATAAAAAACTGTGAGGTGAGCAGTAGAAAATGGGGGTGTATCAAAATATACAAATGAACATTGTTTTCGGTTTTCATACCATTTGTAAGTTGAGCATGTTGCGTAGCCTGCAGCACGTTCACCGGATGGTGCGGGGCGATGCTGGCATAGTACGGATCGTGCGTCCCCACCCCGTTGAAGCGATAGTCGGAGGGGCGTGCCGTCATCTTCGCGGGGGGTTCATCGGAGTATGTCGCGACCCGATTGGAAGGTGTCGTGTGAGGGGGCGTGGCCCGATGTTGAGGCTGGTCTACTCGCACTGATTCACTCTGAAACAAAAACGAAAAGAAAAGAAGAAAAAAAAATAATAATAATATATATATATATATTTTTTTTTTTTATACAAATGTCTCTAAGCGCTTTACAAAAATACTATTACCCCGGTCATTGGATTTCAGTGCTTGCCCGCACACACTGTGTGCACATTTCCACTCCCTGGGGAGCATTTTTGTTTAATGTTTCGTATTGTTCTTTTATCGTTGTAATTAACAAACCACATCATTATAAACGCTTTTATGACTTATACCTTTTCAAAAGCCTATTGGCTTACTGAGAATGTGAGTTTATAGAGTTACACATTTTTAATTACATTTATTTAAAATTCAAAACCCTTGTGGACCTGAGCTAAATACAATATTATATATATATATATATATATATATATATATAGTTTTACCGTTATCACAAATCATCATCATATCAACCATATACATTTTTTTACATTTATAATAAAAGACACATATATGACATAAGTGGAATGATAGAAATAAGTTCATATAAACGTATAAATGTATAAGTAAGATTCTAATCCCTGTTTAACGCACCCCTTATTTCTTAAGATTAGTGCTTGTCACAGTGAGAATATATAAGAAGAAAATTAGAAAAAACAAAATTTCAAATGTCAAAAAACACTTATTTATGGATACATTTCTCTCTCGTTAAAATAAGGCTTGTAACGTCACTCACGTAATCGCGTTCTCACGTTTTGACCACTTTCATAGATGCAAGCTATCTAATCTAAGAAATATAGGATTTGCACGTTTCTGTTTTTTTTTTCTTTCTTTTCTTCTACAGGCCGGTATTAAATCACGAATACTCACGCTTTTGCGTGTAGGCCTTCGCCACGTGACTCTTGTCGTACCTGCCCCTACATTTCCCCACTTGAAAACAAAAGTGCTTGTCATTGAGACTAGTCATTACGTATATTTCATTTCCTCTTTTTTTTTTAAAGGTTTACATGTACTCTTATCTGGGTTATCGTCTTGGATGGGTGGGCGAGGCAGATACGTCACGAAATCTCGCGAATTCCGAGAGCGGGATATATGCGCTGGTAACGGCGTTCGAGAAGTTGAAAAGGATCGGCGTAATCAGCTAATCTGCATACGCTGTGCGGACAGACTGGGAACTGTTGCCGGATTCCCCAAGCTCTTTGGGGGCTATGGTACGGGGGGAGGGGGTGGGGCGGGGGGGGGGTGGTCCAGCCACTAACTTTCAGATAGAGCCGACCTTTATCATGGCCGAAGATTTACGTGTGATTCTTTTTCTGTTATTTCCTTCTCAGTGACCATTTACATTTATTTTGTTAACATCTGCGTCAAGTAACATAACTGTTCTTGTTTTACAATAGTAT